TACACTTACATAATTGGTCGCATTCGGAGGTGATCGTTATGCGGGGGTCCACTGTACTCTGTTTTTATCCTTATTAACCCTTTCAGGGTTTCCGACGTACTAGTACGGCTTACGCACCAGGGTTATTGACGTACTAGAACTCCTAAATTCTAGCGCCTTCAAATCTAGTGAGAGAAAGCTGGTAGGCATTCATATGAAAGAATGGGTCTATGTGGTCAGTGTGCACAGTATAAAAAAATTCTGCAGCATACAGTGCATAACGAGAAAAAAAACTCCGACCTTGTTTTTGGTTTTGCAGTGTATTTTCGTATGGTATTTATAGTTGTATTCTAGTTTTCCTGGTCTCATTTTATAGAATGGAAGACATGTTACAGAAATTGAGATGATTTTGATTGGTTTCATAATGAAAAGTACCTTGAAATTGAACTCAAAGTAGCAGAAATGTTCAATTTTTACCAAATTTCAAAAGTAAACTAATCAAGCCAAGCGTCCAATACATGTCAACTGGCGAGTCTAATGTTCTTTCGCAAGTGCACTGATATTATTTATACCATTTCTACACTAATGCAGTAGTCTGCATAACAGTAAATCTTCTATTTTTTGTGAGAATAAAAATTCAAAGTGGAAAGCAAAAGAGATGTAAGAGGGGCCTGGGGACATGACTAATGAACAGAGAAAATGTTATTTTAGTGCCAGGAATGTCTGTCTTGCTTATTTTGGACCCTATTTGGAAATTGGCATCTTCTGAAATTTGTGTGAAATTGGCAAAATTGCAAATTTCTGACCACTTTATTGGATACTTGAAATCGGTAAATGGGTGGTTTCTTGTACTCATTCGATAGAAAAAATGGAGTTCTAACGAAATAGATATGATTTTTGTCGACTAGTACACTGAAATTGGCCGAAAACAGGGCTCAAAGCGGGCGAAATCGCCGATGCAACATCGAGACTGCTAACTTTGCAAGAGCATAATTCCGTAAGTTTTCCATAAAATTTCATACCTTTGGTGTCATTATGATCGGGAAAAGATTCTCTATCATTTCATAAGAAAAAATAATTTTTTTTTCCCAAAAAATTTTCAACCCTGAGAACGAGTTTAGGAGAGTGCCTCTCAACCCTGAAAGGGTTAAGATGAAATTAAGTGGTGAACCTTTCTTTGTTGTTTGTTCAGTCCACTCAGTCAACAAGTTTTCTGTCATTTAGCTGACGTGACCCATGTGTCATTCTTTTCAGAAGGTGGCAACCTGGTTTATTCATTGCACAAGCCCATATTATTTTCTTCATTCCTTTCAGTTAAATGAACCGATGCTTCATAAAGGCCATTGGCTCCCACCATCTCCACTACACGTGCACCACTTTTAAGCTTATCTAATGTATCAGTTGTCTTCATAACACCAAGCCTTGAATGCATAAACTTTTTCTCACCACTTACAGCATCATTCACATTCCTCTTGAGTGCCAATGATTACTATGCAAACACAAGATATGATGAAAAGATAAAAAATCAGTTCACAAACACAGAACTGAGAATGCTATGGGACATGTATGTATGGAGAACCGAGATATGAGAGGGTCGGGGGGAAGAAGGGAAGATGCTAAGCCTTCCCCACAAAGACAATGGCCTGACCCACAGGCTGGCTGCCCATGAGACAGGTAAATGAGAAGAATTAAATCAGTCAAGGATCAGACAGGACAACAGAGAGACCTGGACAGGCTACAAGCCTGGTCCAGCAGCTGGCTCTCTGAATTTAACCCCGCCAAATGCAAAGTCATGAAGATCGGGGAAGGGCAAAGAAGACCGCTGACAGAGAATAAGCTAAGTATCCAAAGACTGCAAACCTCACTCAAGGAAAAAGATCTTGGGGTGAGTATAATACCAAGCACATCTCCGGAAACACACATGAACCAGATAACTGCTCCAGCATATGGGCGCCTGGCAAACCTGAGAATAGCATTCTGATATTTCAGTAAGGAATCATTCAAGACTCTGTACACCATAGACATCAGGCCCATACTGGAGTATGCAGCACCAGTTTGGAACCCACACCTGGTCAAGCACATCAAGAAATTAGAGAAAGTGCAAAGGTTTGCAACAAGGCTAGTTCCAGAGCTAAGGGGAATGTCTTACAAAGAAAGGTTAAGGGAAATCGGCCTGACGACACTGGAGGACAGAAGGGTCAGGGGAGACATGATAATGACATATAAAATACTGTGAGGAACTGAAAATGTGGACAATGACAGGATGTTCCAGAGATGGGACACAGAAACAAGGGGTCACAATTGGTAGTTGAAGACTCCTATGAGTCAAAGGGATGTTAGGAAGTACTTCTTCAGTCACAGAGTTGTCAGGTAGTGGAATAGCCTAGAAAGCGACATAGTGGGGGCAGGAACCATACATAGTTTTAAGACGAGGTTTGATAAAGCTCATGGAGCAGGGAGAGAGAGGACCTAGTAGCAATCAGTGAAGAGGTGGGGCTAGGAGCTATGACTCAAGTCCTGGAACCACGAATAGGTGCTTACAGACACTACACACACACTACACCCCCCCCCCCCCACACACACACACACTGGGGGACCCACAGGGGTCAGTTCTAGGACCAGTGCTATTTTTGGTACAGTAGGGCCCCACTTTATGGCGTTCCTCTAATACAGCAATTTCAAATTATGACCCAAACTTTCTATACGGTGAGCAGTCTTTCAAATACAGTGTGTGCCACCTGGTTTGTTTACATTCTCTGTGAGCACACCTCTATTATGTCTGGAAACTTTCCAAAATTTCAAGTGTTTTAAAGTTATTGCATATTTTATGTGTGTTCTCATAATACTTTTGTACCTGTACCGAAATATACTTACACGCTGTGCTGATGTGCAGGTGCACATTAAAATCACTAAGTGTGTCCCTCTAGTCTTAACGCCATAGTAATACTACGTAATAATAATCACTCTTGGGCACATTAAATGTCTTATGCTACATCAATTTAGACATTTTCATTAATCCATCTATGATATTTTCTTCAAAATTATATAAGAAACACATTACATAGCATATAAAGATGCTGTATATATGCTATGGAAGTGTGGTTGCCAGGCAGACAGGAAATATTATGTAATTATTATTATTATAATCAAAAAGAAGCGCTAAATATTATGTAATACTAATAATTCTTAATGCCATATTTTATTCATTCTAGATTATATATCATGTTTCTGTTATTAATATTGTTTATTATGTCATATTAGATGAATTGTGCTAGATAAATAAGCCGTAGAGCTGATATTAGTGTCATATTGAAGGACTATCTTGTCCTGTCTCCCAACAGAATTCCTAACATACGCCAGAAACAGACATCTCTGGAACACTTTTTTGAGTGACGGGTCCATTGACACTCAAGCTGGTCCTAGTGTCATTAAAAAACAGAGGGAAGTAACCCAGGATAAGGACTTGGTACCTGAGGTCTTTATGGAAGGAGATTCCCCTTCCAAACAATTGTAAACTCCTCTATCCTCTCCCCTCCTCTCGTCTTCCATACATCACCATGTCTTCAATAGTGTGATGTTATTATTGTTTTATTCTTCATGTATCATTGTTTTCTGTGAAAGGAAATGTATATTTCATGTAGAAAACACTTTTTTTAATACTTTTGGGTGTCTGAAACAGATTAATTGGATTTCCATTATTTCTTTTGGAACGGATTAATTACATAATCCGGGGGTCCACTGTACTTTTATTCTGTAAACCATTCAAAATCATCTCTATTTCTGTAATATATCTTCCATTCTATCAAATGAGACCAAGGAAATGAGAATACAACCATCAGTACCATACGAAAATACATCGCAAATTCGCTGTTTTAACCCGTAAATGGTCCAAACGTATATATACATTTTTTCAACATTTGAAAGTATGTAAAAAAAGTAGATCTTTTTTTTTTACATTTGAAAATGTGTAAAAAACTTTGATCTACTTTTTTTTTTTGTTATATTTGAAAATATTTAAAAAAAATGTAGATCTACTTTTGGAGCACTACACGTGAATGTAGATCTGCTTGGACCGTTTACGGGCTAAACCAAAAACACGGTCTGAGTTTTTTTTATTCTCATTATGCACTGCGTGCTGCACGATTTTTTTTTTTAAGACTGCGCACGAGACCACTCAGACCCATTCTCTCATATGTAGGCCTACCAGCTTTCTCCCTCAAGATAGGAAGCTGCTTGAATTTTGGCATAGTATTACCAGACTTACAGGCAGTAGGTTGGTAGACAGCAACCCCCTAGGGAGGTACTACTGTCCTGCCAAGTGAGTGTAAAACGGAAGCCTGTAATTGTTTTACACGATGTCTTTTTTTTCTCTCATACACGTGCAAGATTTCAGGTACGTCTTGCTACTTCTACTTACACTTAGGTCACACTGCATATACATGTATATACACATGCATATATATACACACCCCTCTGGGTTTTCTTCTATTTTCTTTCTAGTTCTTGTTTATTTCCTCTTACCTCCATGGAGAAGTGGAACAGAATTCTTCCTCTGTAAGCCATGCGTGTTGTAAGATGCGACTAAAATGCCGGAAGCAAGGGGCTAGTAACCCCCTCCTCCTGTATAAATTACTAAATTTAAAGAGAAACTTTTGTTTTTCTTTTTGGGCCACCCTGCCATGGTGGGATGCGGCCGGTTTGTTGAAAAAAAAAAAAAAATTACCGGACTGACAGTGAAAGGGTTAAGTACATAAAACAAAAGACAGCCCAGCCCAAAAGCATTGCAGGTATGGTAAGTGGGAGGCTATATAGCTAATGACATTTGAAATATAAAAATAAGGCCATTGAATGCCTATATATTTTGTTTTAAAGAGCAATAACTCATTTTTTTCATATTTGTGACTATCACTAACACTCTACACTATATTACAGAACATAGATATTACTTCAAGTATTTTTAGAACTGATTATAAAATAATGAGATATTTTACAAAAGGAAGGGGGAAAAGAGAGGATTGATATATCCTAGATACTGGTATTTATATTAGTATAATACAGACTTAACAAGCATATTTCTTACAAAGTAATATTTACAAAACTTACACACACCATGTCAGGACAAAACCTTGAGAGCATAGACCTAACTGGACGCTATAACTTGACGACTCTCAGCGTGTGGGGCTGCCCCTTATCACCCCGCATCTCCACATTGTGCTTCTCTACACTGTGTGGCGAGGTCAGCTATGAATGACCTGGGAGAATCCTCCAGTAAGGCTAAATTTTAAGGTGATGTGTATAGAAAAATTAAACTGTGGAGGACTCGGCCTGAGGTCAGACATCACTGTCCTCGCCACAGGACTTTGCGAGGACGTGCAGCTTTGCTGGGTCCTGGAGCCTGTCAGCGTTGGTGCCCCATTAAGGGTGCCCTGCTACACGGTGATTTTAGCTGTTGTCACCTTAAGGGCCTACCTGGCTGGCCCTGGCTACACATGGGCTGCAGGAAAAGGTAAGGGTTATGAAGGCCTCCTCGTTGGCTTGTGAGAATCGCCAAACTTTGTAGACATTGGGTGCGATCAGAAAAAGAAAACTTATAGTCGCTTGGATTTTCAGTGATGCTGCCCGAGTAGTAGAGCTTTCCGGCTAGTCAAAAGAGTGTCACGTATAATCCAAATGATCGAGAATTCATTTTCGGATCCACCCGGCATATATTCTAAGTGGCTGCTGTAATAAGAAGACAGCAATGAAGATGAGTCCATGAATGGAGGAAAGACTTGTACAAAACAGGCTGTATAAAATGGGACTGCACTACCAAGAATATTTAAATCACTGTATATATTCTGCTTCTAACAATATTTAAAGCTATAATTAACTTTCCTTGATAATTCCATGCCTAAATAATGCCCAACTTTCATTTAGATTATATAACTCAGAAAATAATTAATAATGCCCAACTTTCATTTAGATTATATAACTCAGAAAATAATTAATCAAAATTAGGTTAGATCTGGTATCAAGCAGCAAAGAATGCTAATTACATCGAATCAGATTTTCAAATACAAACAATTATGAAGTGTGCGATGAATGGAATGTTTTAATTTCAGGAAGTGTGGTCATCAACATATTGTGCTTCTATCACCTCAATTCAAGGCCCTCCCACCACCTTAGCTGTTTTATTTAAATTTATGTATACCTAAGATGTAACTTCATGAGCACTCTAATGATAGTACTTTAGTTACCCTTAATTAATAAATATAATATGTGCTCAGTCTGTTACTACAAAATTTCATTATTTTTGTACAGTTTTCTATAGACCTTTAATACATAACTATTCCTGTTGTCAAGTCTTATAAATACTGTATATTAGTCAAAGAAATTTTTTTGATAATCAGCATTCTGAGTATGGTCTGCTAAGGTCTTTCTAATCTCACAAAAATTCTTGTAGCTGAAGGATGGGATGTTTACTGTAAACTGCATCTGACCATGGAATTTGCCTCACCATTTACCAAATATGTGTATTTATACTTGCTTTTAGATTTTAGCAAAAGACTCATCAATGAAATTACACATACTATAGTGTACTGTGATACAATGGTGGTGAGGCTGCAAGTGAAGCGCTCAATACTGACTGCTACACTAAGTTGGTTACTTTTACTTCTCAGTAGGTTGGACTTTATTAAAAAACTTATTAATGGCCCAAGCACGTGCTCGCTGACTAGTATTTTAGTGTAAAATGATGCAAGCCTATGAAAAATATTAAAAATACTTGTACTTTTAATTATCCATGGTTCTTTCTGTGCTGCTAGTGAGAGACTGGTGTCCAAGCAGGGTCAAAGTTTACCCATTGATAATGAAAATTGACCAAAATAGTGAGCAGTTACCTAGAATGGAAAACACTTATGCCCAATTTTGAATGATATTACATCTGTCTCGGATAAAAAGCCAAGCACCAGTGTTTACAAGTTAATCATGAATGGTGATAAGTGTGTGTTCAAAAGAGTTGATTTACTACCAAGCTACATATACCTAACGTTATAATTATTAGCAGTCATGAGAACATAAACAGTTAAAGCTGCTGTCAGACACTTTGAATCAGATTCTCATGACAGAGTGTTTGTTGGTATAGTTCTCATAGGCTCACATAGGAGTTCATCACTCTTCATAGTTAAAAGTAACTCAGAATTGATAGTTCAAGCTAACTAACTCAGAACTTATACTACAATTATATATTTGTGTAGAAATTCTTAATGAGCAGGAACAAAAGTAGTAATAAAATAACTACCAGATGGTCATACCAAGACTGATTACATAAATATTCGGCTGGAAGAAATATGGTATTCTTCTTGAATACACCTAAAGAAGACTGGTTGATATCACGGTTGAGGTGTGGGAGTGACAGATAATGAGTTCAGGTGACTTCAGGGCTCCTGGTCGCTTTGCTGAGGTGTGGGAGTGGTGGAGAATGACAGTTCAATGGATGAAGTCACAACTTGTTGCCTGGTGACGCAGTTGTATCCCTGAAGTTTTAGCCACCTTTCACGAACATCAGTTTCAACCTCACTTCACACACTTTTTTTTTTTTTCACTTAAATATTTAATGGTGTAAATCTTTTTTTTTTTTTTAGTAAATATAAGATTACATTGGTAGTAACAACATAACGTTGGTAAGGCTGGCCAACACAGCCAGTGCAGTGATGACACATTTACTCTGTCCTTAGGTACAGTCCCAAGTACACAAACGCTGCGGCAAACAGGGCTCCGCCTTAGGAAAAAAAATTCAGTTTTTGCTGTTGCAAGCGTGCAGACTTTGTTATTCCTAGGTCAGCGCTCTACGGACGATTTCAGTTTGGAGAAGCTTTCCACTGTCAATTGTTGCAAAACCAAATCATTTTGGCATGCTACAGACTCGCATAGGAAATAATTAATGGTTGTTGGTTTCGTCGCTTTGGCTATACCCTATAAAACACTCTAAATGTGGTATAAAATGAGAATAACATAGTCGCAAGCAATAATTCACAGTACTGTACCTTACTCCACCAAAATCAGATGATGTTAGGAAGCCTATCGACAAGAAAATTTGAAAGCTGAAAGTATCTTTTCGCATTTTCAGAAGAAACCATCCCTGGACAAAACACAACACTGATCATACCAGCAAGCACTATCTAGTTCATTCGTCCTTAGGGGTAAAACAAGTAACTTCAAAGTTTGTCTGCTTACCATACATAATTATATGGACAAGGTTTATCTAATCACATTGGCAATCATACTCTAACCATTTGTCATAGCATTATGCATCCCTAACATTATTCTGTCCTGATGAGCAAATGTTCTTGACGGAACGCGGATCCTGGTCACAAGGGCCGCCTGGCAGGAAGGGTGGTGGCAGTAGGGCGCTGGTTCTGGCGGCACTACCAGTGGGGGCCCTGGACTACGTGGCCAGCTCTGGTGAGCCAAGCTGTTGTGTCTCAGGATCCGAAGTGCTGCGCCCGTTCGACACATTGCCTTGGGGTGAATCCCGGCCACCCCGGCCACTTGATAGGTTCTTGCCTTCTGATTGGGACACGTCACTCTCTACGTCGCTCTCAGTCTGTAACACGTCAACTGTCACTCAGCCCCGTAGATTATAATATGACTAAATACAAAAATGAACATGAGGGACTTTTTAAAACACCTTACAGTATAAAGTTTTTTGCGATGATGTACTGACGTAATCAACTGCTGCACAATTCAAGCATCTGTGAAATCATGAGAACAAAGACTTTGATAAATACGTTGCAAACTGAAGGCCATTTCCAGCCTATGGACCAGACAAATTATTGCTAATTAAGAAAATATAGTTGAAAACTAGTCTATAGCATTTATATCACAATAAACAAATGTGGATCTTGTGTTAAACTTGTTATTGTGAGAAGTGTGTGTTTGACTACCTATATGTAGCTACAGCAGCAGAGCTATACTTCTCATGTCTCGTCTTAAATGTTTGACATTTTTTAAATATTTTCATTGGTCTGTGTTTTGTGGATGTTACAGTTACCTACATTATTGTAAGAAGTGTAGGGGATTTAAATGTAATAATCTACATTAATGCTAGGATTACTTGTAGTTACAGGACTACAGGACTCAAGCATTGATCATCACGTCCAGTGCTTAATGCCTTGAATTTTTTTTTGTACTGCTTTTTGAAATTTCCTGATGTGGGAAATATAATGGCTTGTTTGTCTACTGAGTTTAATCTACATTTCTCCTATATTTTTCACTCCAGGAAGCTGGTATAGTATAGCAGTGTGCACATGAGGGATCAGGACCTCAAATATCTTCCATGTACGTATATATTACTGTATTAGGTATTTATCTTCATTCTCGAGAGAACAAGCCAAGTGCTTTGAAGCATTTTCAACAGTTCTGTGATTAGATGTTTTACTGATTCTATACTGGTACTGTATGACCGTTGAACATTTTCCAACTCTGCCTTGACTATTTTGAGCCCCTTTTGTTTTCTTTTTCTATTCTCTTTCTTTTGTCTTGTTTATCCTTGTGCCTAATAAAGATTTCCATTGGAAATGTTTAGCTTCTCACATGAAATAGTAGACATTTTAAGGCACAGTACAATACAGGCAGGACCAGGAGCTATGTCTCAACCCCTACAACCACAAATAGGTGAGTACATCTTAGGGTGATAGAAGCTTCAGTTCTTCCATAAGCAGCACTTTCCTTTTTGTAGCATACTTATGCATTTCCTGGGGTGTTCATGACATTCAAATTCATATTTACATGTTGCTCTAGCATAGTATTTGAATTTTTCCTGTGTTGTCACTGTTTGTGACAACTTCTGTACTTCATGCTTCTGTTTGGTTATCACTTTACTTTGTATCAGTTTCTAGCTTTCCTTCACTTCCTTCTCCTCTTTTCTTGTTATGCTACTTTCTACTGGTATTCTGTCATCTTCATTGGTTATTTTAACGTTTTTCTATCTTTGAACAGTTCGAGTATGTTTTCCTGAATGTGAATGTTTTCTCTCTTCTCATGTATGCTGTTATGAAGAGCTTTGCCAATTTTTCATAGATAAGAGGTAGGCTATCTAAGAAATTTAATTTTTCTTAAGAAATACGAAATTAGTTACCTTTTCCCACACTAGTTTATCTTCCATGTAAATTCATGGTCTTTTCCTCCCCATCAATTGTTCTCACATTTGTTTATAACCAGTATATTTCTCACCTGTGATACTGGCACTCCCAGCACTATTAGTGGTTCTCATATTCTGTTAATTAAACCAACTTTCTGTCTATATCTTTTTTCACATTTACATTAATTTTTTTCATGTACTCTTTTTTTTCATGCACTCTTTCTATTTGTAAGACAAGTGATTTTTTTTTTTTCAAAATCTTGACACACACATGCAGGAAATTTAATTTCCATGTGTGCCACAGTTAAAGGGTTAAAATATTGTATCTTGGCCACTATGTAACTTGTTAATGGTTCAACTTGAACAGAAACAGTCACATTTCAATCTCCTAAGTGAGGGCTATTTGTATGTTGTTCTAGTTATGGTACTGTGACTTTTTATTCTTTCTGAGGAGGAAAGGTCTCTTTCCTTTGAACTTTATCTCTCAATTTAATGGTCTAATGGGGACTGGGGAAGTGGATGACAGGTAATCACAATTGTGATGGGCAGAGATGAAATTGTTTTGCTGTGATCATAACAATAATGGACAATTCTATAACTAGTGCACTTTGTCTATTGTTTTAAAATCAACTGATCCATCAGATTTTGTCCCAAAGAGTCCATTAAATTAAGGTCTGTTAAATCAAGGATTTGCTGCTACTGTATTTTCCTTTCATTTTGAAGTTCTAAGGTATAAATGCTGCAATTTTACATTTTCACTGTTTTTACGGTTTTGTATACAAACAATCGAGATAGCTAAGGATAACTAAGGTTACAGGCATGTGCTGTGTACTGTACAGAGTTATGACTGAGGGCAAACACAGGAAGATTTTGTCCAAATATCCATAACTATTCAAACAAAGCAGATGTGTATACTGTCAATGTGCAGAATGCTTGTGTTAATTATGAAATGCCTTACACATTTAACTTATGAAAGAAATGACTGATGTCTGCAAACACCAGAGATTTGAAAAAAATAAGTACAATGTTATGTGTAATGGCAGGCCATGTATTTTTAATCTGTTCAACCTTTTAACAAAACAACTGGGTTAATGACTCATTAGGAGGGTGAGATATATCAAAGTTATTTTATATATACAACACATGTATATACATGAAGTTAGAGACAAACAAACACACACACACACACACACCTGTTTTCCTGGAGGGAAGGGGGAGAGTCTCTCTGAGGTATCTGAGCCACATGAGGATGACTCAGAGAGTTCGGTGGTGAATTTGCGACCCACCCTGGGAGAGGCAGGCGGTCGACGGCTGCACACCTGTGCCTGGATGTGTTCACATATTCGCCGGAACCGTCGGATGTTTCCTGAAAATTTTTCTTGTGAGATAGAGCCCTTGGAAAGGTCTCTAGCATGCAGGCAATGCAACTAAACACTGGGCAGAAAAAATCTAGAAAAAATGTCTGACAAAACTTCCTAAAGCAGTATGATTATTTGCCATGCAAATTAAGCTTGAAATTTTTTAAAAGTATTTCACCAAAAATATCTATTTGCTATTAAATACTAAAAAAATGATATATGATAAAATCAATTAACAGATATATAAAAAAAATCTGTTCAATAGATTTTGTAGCAAATTTGTACAAAAAAAGATACAGTACTTGTAAAATCACAAAAAGATGCTAGATTAATACAATTCTGCCAACAGTTATAAAAAAAACAGTGGCCAAAAAACTAACAGATAAGAGAGAAGATAAGGTACAGCACTGCAGTTCATATGAGACACACACACACAGGTTTATTTAGTGTGTATACAGCTGTAGTGTGTACACTGCAGGTACAGTAACTGTATACAGACACATATGGAAGAGAGTACATTAGGTAAAAAAGAGAATCTTCTGCCTCTCATTGGTATTAGAAGGGTTATTATGACAACAGCTGTTTAAAGTAGAGCACACACTCCTAAGTATGTTTATTTTTATACCAGCAACTAATGCATACTCCCTCCCCTCCTCCCTTAAACCTTTATGAACTTGCTAGATATTCTATTTTTTACACCAACTCCTGTTTTGGTGATCAATGAATCAGTGAACTGAGCATGATGAATGACTACAGCCATCTTCCAGCCATGAAGGACAGAGCATACTATCATAAATCATGATGAATCTAGTGCTACATGGCAAAGGGATGCTTACGTTAAAGGGATGTAAGTGTGAAGGGTGGCTTCATGTGCTTAAGAGTCAAGTCAAAGTTGATATAACAAGTCAAATTCAGCTAAGTCATAGTGAACTGAAGGAAGGACTTTAAAGAATAGGGCTTCCAGGATAAGGTCACCAGGATTTTGAAGGAGAGATCGGAAATATATTTTACATGCTCTTTAAAAACCAGGACAATCACTCAAAGGTGGTAATGGCAGACTAGCAGCAAAGGCAGTTGTATAGTAGTGCAGGTCAGCCACTGAGACAGGTACCATATCTGTATATGGTTGCGAGGATTATCACCTATGTGACCCAGTCTCGGATGAGGCCTAAATTGAAAATAACAATACCAGGAACTATTAAGAAACAAAGGAGAGTACGGACTATACTAAATGTATGGTAAGAATTTGTAAGATTATCTGTTATCTTATGCATTCATGAGACACAAGAAAGACCAACAATTCCACAAAAGTGCAAAACATCTAACAGGTTTCCAATTCACACTCATGACAGGATGGTAATACCTCTCAGGAAGGCTGATGTCTACCAACTTACTATGTTGTGTAGTACAGACCTGCAGCTGGAACAAATGTGCTGAAACTTATTAACACCTTACGTTATGGTACTTAATTATAATTATTTTGTTGAAACCACATAACCCATCATATGAACCACATTACTGTACTTTACCTAAGAGAACACTGGTAAAAAGTACACCTCAACCAGACTCAAAGAATTCCTCAGCTGTACACAATTCCTATACAACTTGCTCTAATATTTGACCAAACAAAAAATCAGAGCAACATATTAAGAGAACATTCCTATTCTTTGTCATTTAAGTAGAGAGAGGGACTTAAAGTGTGGATGAGTGTACAAGCTCACCTTAAGTTTGATAAGCTTTAAGCTGTGAAGCGGGATACTACGGAAAAAAATACGCGTGTTGGTTCATTACCCATCATACCAGAGAGGAGGATGAAGTTAATTGCGTAGAGCGGGTTGGGGTCATTGGGAGAACACACCGGCGTGATATCCACTTGGAACCTGACGTGGCGCTGGAACATGGCGGGACCCGTACTGCCGCGTTTGTACTCCACACGGAAACTCATGGGTGATGTTACACTGTGGCTCAGCTCTGCCACCTGCAACTCCAATGTGCGCCTTGTTAGTTTCCAGATTCCACACCTATTTTAGTGTTTGGGGCCCTCCATGAGCTATTTTATAATGAAAAGATTTAGCGCCTTTTTTGATATGAGAATAATAATTTATACTGTATTGAGAATCCCTCCCACTTCCTTTGGCCTGTGTTGTGCTAAGACCCCACAGCCAGTATATTTAGGACTCCTTCAGCCTGTGGTACATCACTTAGTCTCCAGAATAACACCACAACCTTAGTTTTGATCTTCCCTCTTGACCTCCACAACTCTTCGCACCAACCTCATTTTTTGACCATCTTTTATTAACCTCCACAATTCTGGCTCAGTTATTAGTTTTGACCTCCACAACAGTAACATAGTTTATGCCTTGACCTGACGACCTGACAAGCAAGGTATCGTACTTCCCAAATAATCAGACTCATCCACCATCTGACAAAACTCCCTCACCACCCCAAACTACACTACATCTGCACCCAATGTACTGCCTCATACACCTAACAAAGAATAAAGAAATTAGCTATCATGACAAGCAAGATCTACAGGTGGTATATTAGAAGTTGAGCTAGACTTGGGCATTCTCCACTGTTAAAACTATTTTTTTTAAGATGTGTATTAGGTCTGAAAAATGAGAAGGCCTGGAAGCACTAGGTTCTGGCATTATGATCATCATTTATATACCCTGACTGTCTGTACTGTTGTCTTAAAAATTTGTTGTTTGTCACTGAAATGCAACCTAAAAATATATATCTATATATCATGGTAATGTGTGTGCATGCAGCCTTAACCAACAATTACTGCCATACATGTATACGTAAGTCATACAAGATATATGATAAAAAACATTCTCATAAATCTGAAAAGTTTTCCATGTTACCTTTCACTGCTTCAAATGTAATGTTAACTTGTATGTGAATTACCTCATATACTTATTTCATGTTGCATTGTGCATTACATATGCAGGTATCAAACACTGTTGGTGTATGCAATACTGTGACCAAAAAATTCAATGGGCACCTCTCTCTCCTATATCATTCTCTTTACCATTACCTTTGATATCCTAGAGTCTACCTGGAGGGTATTCCGGGGATCAGTGCCCCCGCGGCCCGGTTCATGACCAGGCCTCCCGGTGGATCAGGGCCTGATCAACGAGGCTGTTACTGCTGGCCGCAGGCAATCCAACGTACGAACCACAGCCCGGCTGATCTGGCACCATCTTTAGGTATCTGTCCAACTCCCTCTTGAAGACAACCAGGGGTCTACTGGTAATGCCCCTTATTGCTGGTGGGAGGCTGTTGAACAGTCTTGGGCCCTGGACACTTACTGCGTTTTCTCGTAGTGTACCAGTGACGCCCCTACTTTTCACTAGGGGTATGTTGCATTGCCTGCCAAGTCTTTTGCTTTAGTATGGAGTGATTTCTGTGTGCATATTAGGGACCAGTCTCTCCAGAATCTTCCAGGTGTAGATTATAATATATTTCTCTTGCCTGCGCTCCAATGAGTACAAGTCAAGTACTTCCAGGCATTCCCAGTAGTTTAAGGTGTTTGATGGAACTTATACATGCAGTAAAGGTTCTCTGTACATTCTCTAGATCTGCAATTTCACCTGCCCTGAATGGGGATGTTAATGTACAGCAGTATTCCAGCCTAGAGAGAACAAGTGATTTAAAAAGGATCATCAGTGACTTAGCATCTCTTAGTCTTGAATGTTCTCATTATCCATCCTATCAGTTTCCTCGCAGATGTGATAGTGGCATTGTTGTGGTCTTCGGACATTACCACACCCAGGTCCTTCACGTTACTTTTTCGCTCTATTGTGTGATTGGAGTTTGTAGTATGCTCAGTCCTAGCTATTATTTCCTCCAGTTTTCCATAACGGAGTAGTTGGAATTTGTCTTCACTGAACATCATATTTCTCTCTGTTGCCCATTGGAAAACTTGGGTTTATATCTGCTTGGAGCTTTGCTGTCCTCAATGGATGACACTCTCATGCAGATCCTAGTATCATCTGCAAAGGATGATACATCTCGGTCTATGTCTGATACAAGAATAAGGAACAGGATAGGTGCAAGTACTGTGGCAGCATCTGATTTAACTGTATTTACCACTAGTCTTTGTGTGCGATTGGTTAGAAAGTTGAAGATCCATCTGCCTACTTTGCCAGTTATCCCTTTAGCATGCATTTTGTGTGCTATTACACCATGGTCGCACTTGTCAAAGGCTTTTGCAAAATCTGTGTATACTACATCTGCATTCTGTTTGTTTTTCAGTGCATCTAGGACCATATCATAGTAGTCTAGCAGTTGCGTAAGGCAGAAGTGACCTGCTCTGAAACCATGTTGCCCTGGGTTGTTCAATTTTTGGGAGTCCAGGTGGTTTGCTATCCTGCTTCTTAGAACTCTTTCAAAGATTTTTATGATATAGGACGTTAAAGCTATTGGTCTATAGTTCTGAGCTACTGCTTTGCTGCCACCTTTATGGAGTGGGGCTATCTGTTGTTTTTAGTGACTGTGGAATCTCGCCTGTATCTAAGTTCCTTCTCCATAGCATACCTAGGGTCCGTGAAAGGGGTTTCTTGCAGTTCTTAATGAACACAGAGTTCCAAGAGTCTGGGCCTGGGGCTGAGTGCATGGGCATGTCGTTGATGGCTTTCTTAAAGTCTAGTGGAGTTAGGGTTATGTCATAAATTTGGCATACATTGGCAGGGTTTTGAGGCTCATTCATGAAAAAATTGTTTGGATTGTCTATCTTCAGACTGGTTAGTGGCTCAATGAACACAGTCACATTGTGATTTCAGTATCTCACTCATTTCTTTGTCGTCTGTGTAGGATCTGTCTTGTCTGAGCAGGGGCCTTATACTAGAAGTGGTTTTTGCCTTGTTTTTGGCATATGAAAAGAAATATTTCGAATTTCTTTCAATTTCACTAATCGCTTTTAGCTCTTCTTGTCTCTCCTGGATCCTGTATGAGTCCTTTAACTTTAGCTCAATAATTTCCACTTCCCTGGTTAGCACTTCCTTCCATGTATCAGATAATCTGGCATTCTTGAGGAGGTCAGTGATTCTTTGTCTTCTCCTGTAGAGGGAGTCTCTCTCTCCAGTTTACTTCTTCTTTTCTTTTTTCTTATAGGAATGTACCTAGAACATACGTCAGCTACCAGGAGGAGGATCTTTTCAAGGCATTGGTTAGGGTACATGAAATTTAAGATATCCTCCCAGCATGTTTCATTTAGGGCATAGTTTACCTGATCCCAGATGATGTTCGTGTTGCTGAAGTTGAATTTGGTAAAGGTACCCTCACAGCTGTATGCATTTTGCTGATCAGGACTCCTGTGCATGTAAGTCTGGACTTCAATTAGATTGTGATCAGAATTTGTTTTTGATACTATGTTTCTTACCAGGTCCTCATTATTTGTGAAAATAAGGTCAAGTGCATTCTCCAGTCTTGTTGGCTCCACTATCTGCTGACTTAGGGTGTATCTGTTGCAGAAATTCTGCAGCTCCTGTGTGTGTGACTTTTCATCTGAGCTGCCTCCAGGGATTATTTCTGCTACAATGTTATTTGCTATATTCTTCCATTTTGTATGTCTTAGATTGAAGTCACAAAGCAGCAAGATGTTTGGGGATGGGGTTGGAAAGTTTTCCAGACAGGAGTCAATTTTTGATAGTTGTTCCTTGAACTGTTGGGAAGTTGTATCTGGTGGCTTACTTACAAGTACAATGACTAAGTTTTGGTTCTCGATTTTTACTGTCAGAACTTCAACTACATCATTTGTGGTGTTCAGTATCTCTGTGCAAATAAGCGACTCTGACATACAGGCCAACCCCCCCTTGTTGCCTGTTCTTTCTGTCACATCTAAAAAGGTTGTATCCAGGTATCCATATTTTACTGTCAAAGTAATCTTTTGCATGGGTCTCTGTGAAGCCTGCAAACAGTGCAGCCTTCACAGAGAAGTCCACTAATGAAAGGTATTTTGTTGTTGGTGGATGGCTTGAGGCCCTGTATATTAGCAAATATAAATGAGGTTGTGTTGCATGTTTGTTGGGGGATTTTGTTGTTGGCATCAGTAGTTGTGAGTCTGGAGGGGCCACTGGCTGTGCCTCCAGTCTAACAAGGCTCCAAGGTGGTGGACTCTTTGGTTATTTCTTTCCATTTTCTTTCTTCATTTCCTACCACTAAAAAAATCACTTGGGGTGTTGTCATTGCTACCATAGCTACTATGATGTGTTGTATGTTGTACCTTTACATTTGATGAGTTCCAGGAGTTTTTCTACTCCCGGAGCCCAGCCACAGGACAGGCTCGTCTGGTGTTTGCCTGGTCAACCAGGCTGTTGCTGCTGGTGGTCTGCTGCCCCATATATCCATCACAGCCTGGCTGATGTGGCACCTGGTGAAGATACTTGTCCAGGTTCCTCTTGAAGACCTCTACACTTATCCCAGTGTAGATGCTGGGTAAATTTTTGAGACTTATTTTGGGAAAAAAAATCGCATCTTCGAAAGCCATAAAATACAGTATATGTTATAATGTATCTCTCTCTCTCTCTCCCACAACAGTGAGTACCGCCTCTTCTCCCTAAGCGACGTACTCATTTACCGACAGCTTGGACTTACGACCAGATCTCCAACCAGTATGCAAACATAAGTAATGTATATTAGAGTTGATTTCCTCTATTCTGTTTATAACAGTATACAGTACACTACTGTATAAATATTTAAAAATATGCTAGAAATGTTATAAATGGTGCAAAGGTGACAGTAACCCTTAAATGGTCCAAACGTATATATACATTTTTTCAGCATCTGAAAGTATGTAAAAAAAATGCAATCTTCTTTTTTGTTTTACATTTGAAAACGTGTAAAAAAAACTTTTATCTACATTTTTTTTTGTTATATTTGAAAATATGTAAAAAAAGTAGATCTACTTTTGTCGCACTACGAATTTGAACGTCGATCTCTTTGGACCGTTTAAGGGTTAAAAAAATATCTAAA